GGGCACAGGTGCAAAGCAATATACGTATGACTGTGTCATCTGCATAAAAATTAATTACTGCATTTGAAATATACTTTCCAAAATCATTAATATGTAAGATAAATAACAAAGGGCCTAGTACAGAACCTTGTGGTACCCCCTTGTGAATAAACTGAACTCCAGAACAAAAAACATCTAACTGGACAGCCTGGGTAAATAAATAAAATGCATGACTTACCAAAGATGTCTGTCAATTAATACCTGAACCATGTCAAATGATCTCACTGTGTGTATTAATTTCTGTTTATTTTCTGGACATACTATTCCAAACATGACATCTGAAAACAAATTATGTTTGATCATGAAAAAGATGCAGATTTAATCCATGTAAAAAAAAAATCAGATTATCATTGACCTGTAAAGATACACGTGCATGTGTGAGAACATTGACTTGAAATAAAAACACAACTCTAGGTAAGATGACGTAAAACTTTGTCAATTAACAGCATTTTTTAATATAAAGAACCTCCTAAAAACCTGATCAGTCTAATCATTTCTGTAAATACCTTGTGAATTTTCACTCCATGTTTTTTGTGTCTTGTTGCTGCTGTGAGATCTGAAGTTTCCCACTGTGGGATAGATAAAGTTTTAACTTATTATAAAAGCATTTTTAACTGTCATATATGACTGATTCTAGACAATAATTATGTTCTTTCTTTATGATATTCATACTTTGGTACTAAATGCAGCATCAGCATGTTGAACAACAAATGATGCAATGCTGATAAATTTTTAATGTAATTACTGACGTGCATTTTCACATCTGTTACAGAAAGCATCTAAATGGGCTGTTTGTTTGTGACCAGCTGGCAAATGACATTTACTCTCGGCCTTTACTTTTTCCACCTGACCCTAACCGGATTAAACCTCAACAAACATTATTAACTGGAGGAATATTGATGATGATACACAGCAGCGTTGTAGTCGGCTTAAAAATAGTTAAGCACAAATAAGTTGGATTAAGTGAGTTAATTCATTAAAGTAAATGACAGGAAGGAGTCGTTAGACACGCATGGTGCTTGCTTTCAGCCCATCTGAGTTCTGCTCCGCCTCTTGTGCTCAAAGCTCACTCCTGAACGAGCCGTGGATGCTTCACCTGTGATTTATGATCCGTTTGAAGAAGAACTGGTCGGAGCAGCCATTTCATTGTAAATGAGAACTGGTTCCTAATGGACTAACCTGGATCAGCAACATGTTGGTCATTCAGGGAACATGAAAACTGGAAAACATTTTATTTTTTATTTTGAAAAGCATAAAGATTTGTCAAGTAAGAGATGGCAGAATACGAGTTGTGCTAAATAGGAGGTGTAGTGTATCATTTTTGTTTTTAAAAATGTTTCACATTAGATTATAACTACTTTTATTGCAAGGGCATAAATCCATCCGTCCGTCCGTCCGTCCATTCATTATCTTTACCCGCTTCTTCGTCACTGGTGTCCAAATTTAGCAGTCACTGTGCGATAGGTGGGGGACACCTGAACATGTCTCCAGTCCATTACATGGACACATAGAGACAAAAGAGACAAACAGCCATTTTCTCTCTCTCAGTGGCAATTTAGAGTTACCAATCAGCCTAACATGCATGTTTTTGGTCTGAGAGAAAATAAATCTTGAAATGTAATTTCTTTGAATTGCATGTTTGCATTATGTTTATTGCATTTATGATTCAATCCTGCAAAATGAACAAATTTAAAATGTAACAGATCTTTGTAATAATTTTGCTGGATGTCCAGCCTATGAGCTGTTGGCTTTCAGTAACTGTGCCCCCCTCCCTCCAACACACCCCTCAAGCTGTTTAGTTGAATAGTGCTGCCTTATGGTAACAAACATCCCCTGCATACCTAAACCTTGAGAAAGTCTTTCTAACCTGAGATTCTTTGTGTTTCCCTCATCCCTGGCCTCTGTGTCAAACTACTAACAGCCTTGTGTCAGGCTTCATCCTGCCACTCTCCAACTAGACACTACTCACCTTTTCTCCATCGCTACTGAAAATCTCCACCCTCTTCACGCTGACAGCTTCTCCTGAGGCTGTAAGGAAACAATATTAAAGTCCTTCATTTACATCAGATCTTCATCTATAGGATATTATCCATGTTCTCCTTCTGCCCACAGATTCACCCAAAGTTAAAATCAGTATACATTTTTAAAAACACCACTTTACCCTCCTGCTGAGTCCTCTCTATCAGTTTGTCTATTCTGGGAGTTGTTATAATTATTGTTAAATCCTGATAACAGGGCTCAGTAACCAGAAACCAAGAAACAGACTCAGACACTAATCAGTGAAAGAACAGGGGATCAGGTTTGGACATCTCTGTAAGCAGAAAGAGATTGTGGATTAGACAGGGCTAGGCTATTCAGGAGACGGAAAATAGTAGGTAGAATATGTCTTACAATACATGTCTTATGTTGCAGACTTGGAGGAGGAAGTAAAGGACTCTGGATGATCGGGTGAGTGCAGATAAACAGGTGAGATTGTTGAATTCCAACAGGAGTGGAGACCAGAGTAGAGATGGCGTCGAGCAGATTACAGAACCGGCAAGACAGCAATCCAATGAACTGTGACCAAAAGGACCATCGATTCACCATATGATGCAAACAGATCCCTGCTGAGCGTTGTATCAGCTCTGGCTTTGATCCCTGGTGGCAATGAGCCCTAACATGTCCCACCTGTTTGGGACCCGAACTCTCTCAGCTCATCTGCAAACTTATGCCCCTTTTGCACCGCCCCTAATAAGCCTCAATTCTGGGCAGCCCGCCACAGAAATAACCCTTTTGCACCAGCACTTTAGCTAGTATTTTTAGCTGATTTGAGGCTGATTCAGGACCTCTTTTCGTCCCTGCTTCTCTGGTGGGACCGAGCGAGCTCAGTCGAGCGGAGTCCAGACCAAACGTGAATTCAGGACTCTGATTGGTCAGGGGGAGGAGTCACTGGATCTCAGAAACTTTTCACTGAGCCGCCATTTGCGATTTCTCTGGATGCGGAGCAGCAGCTGGATCTATTTTAAAGATTTTAAAAACAATAATGACAATGCTGTATTTAATTCTGAAGTCCAGGTGTTTTTTGTGTTTGGTGATCGACTATAAAATTCGAGCGAGCGGAGTCACCGCGGAGGATCATATGAGCTGCCGAGCTGTGGAAGCCTGTGAGGCCGAACCCCGAGCCCCGGCCTCGTCTGCTCACAAATGCTGAATTCGAGCCCTGGCAGGCGGGAGGACCGGGACGGAGGGACGGAGGGCGGAAACGTTTTATTTTTTTTAAACATTTTATGTATAAAAATAAGTTTTTCTAATCAGTGAAGATTAAAAATAAATAAACGGTGCTGGCTTTATCATGAAATCCTGTTCTCACTTTGACTTTATTAAATTATCTGTTAATTAAAGTTAATTCAACTGAAAAACCATAAAAAGACAAAATTATTGAATCTCTCAGGCTGGGCCGGATTTTAGCAGGGGCTTACAGGGGCTGCAGCCCGGGGCCCCGGCATTTCAGGGGCCCCGAAGGATGTTTTATGTTTTTGTGAATGGATAGTGTCGGAATTTAATCAATGACTATGATGATTTTGACAGCACCGATGAAAAATGTTCCAATTTGTTCTGGAAAACGTCCATCTTGAATGCTTGCTTGTTATCGGTCCACTTTTGACGCATCTTACGCATTGGGGAGGAGCGTCAGGGAATATTATTT